ATAGATAAATTGGTACTTACCCCATGAGGTGGGAACGAATTTCATCTCTAAACAAAATTTGATTTTCTAAAATCATTTACTTCTCTGAAGATGCTAAATTATTTTTTTGAAATCATCACACATTACATAAAAATATGTACTCTAAAACAATTGCGCGTATGATCGAGCACAATACACAGTTATGATTGTAAATATTCTTATAAAAAAGTGACAACTTATTCAACATTCAAAAATATTTTGATCAGAATCAAGCATTCCCTTTTTAGTGTTATTAATTTAGAAGATAGATACTTTGCATATTCTTTCTGATTTGCAATATATATGTGTCTAATAACATTTATTGTCCAATCTTTTGTATCATAACTAATGCTTAAAAAATTCAAGATAAAGATCCTTTATTGATTCTTTAATAATAACAAAACAAAACAAAACAATGAAACAATATTGAGAAGTATTTGTCAAAATATTTCAGATGAGAAGAATTTGAATTATACTATATTATGATACTCTTAGTCATCTGTTAACTTTATTATTATGAAGTCATTATTAAAGTTTGTGGTCTATCTTATGATAATATCGAATCATTATTTATGAAACCAAATTTCTTATAGAGAACATATACTTAAATGCTAACAACAAAAAAAGTAGTAATTTTAAAAGATTTTTGTTTCTTGATATTAGTATTCATACTTTTCTAAAAAAATTCAGAATTTTTCTTTTCCTCATTGCATTACTATTGGTTTACCTGTTTTTTTTTATTTGTTGAAAGAATTAGAGAACATTTATATGCAATGCGTTCTTTTTACGTGTTTGATAGTAATAATATACTTGATAAAAATGTTGTTTTATATTGTTTATAATATTAAAAAGATTTGAATTTATTTCCATGTTCTGATAAAATATTAAGTAACTAATTCATGTATTCACAAAAAATACATTTTACAACCATTATGGTGCTCCCTTTCAAGCAATAATTGAATAATAGTTTAACATACAACCGATTTATTTTTTTCTTTTAATTCACATATTTAATATTGGTAATAGTTGTACAATTACATCTAGTTGACTTTTTTCTTAGTATGAATATTTCAAATCTATGTCAGAAAAATATACCACAAGTTTATCTAATATTATTTTATAATTAATAAAATTAATTTAACATGGATCTATAATTATTTTATAAGATTCTTTTAGGTCTATTTATTATTTTAAATTGGTATTGATATATATATATATATATATTATTTTACATCGATATAAATAATTATATTATTTTTATTTTATTTACAAAACATTGGTAAAATCAAATATCATGGGAAAGAAATGATATGATATATTACATATAAAAGGGTTACCAAAAAAAAAAAAATCAGTATTTCAAAATTAAGAAATTTAATGGTAAAAATTAACTAATTTTTTAACTAAAAAATTATGACTAAAATTCCGATTTCTAAGACAAAAAAATAAATATATTTTTTTATAAATGTGCATCTCAAGTATATTTTACATTTATCATTCGCTAGCTCCAATTGATATATGACATTTATTAATTTTATCCTTTTTTTTTTGTTTTTTTTTCTTTTGAGTGGAACGTCAGTTATAAGCTTTCTCGTTGTGTAGTTTTACCTTTTTATTACGTAGAACATCATTTTTACATCTTGTTTAGTATTAACATTACCTTTTCAGTAGAACATCATTCTGATCTCTTCTTTAATTATTATAATACAAATAAAATATTTAAGGACTTTTCAACTTATATGTATTTTTTTAATTACTAATTATCATAAATTAAATGATAATTACATTAAATATGTTATATTTTGTATCATTATCAACAATTTTCAAAACAATTAACTGCACACAATATTATATATAGTGCAAATTTTTTAGTTTGATTTGGAGTCATACTTTTACTACAAGAAAATGATGAAATTCCAATGAAAACATATTACAGCGAAATTTCAACAACAATTAAATTTTCGTTTAAATTTTTCAATGAAAATTATAACAAAAATATTTTGTTGCAATCATGTGCAGATCCATGTTTGTCCAATAGTTCCGAAACTGGCATCATCTCAAAACAAATAGCATAAGATATCTAACAAACATTATGGCACATTTTTCATAATTTTAATCATGTCCTCTATTTAGGAAATAAAATTCAAAGAATAAAGACAAATAATGATTAATTTACAACTCAACCAATCATAATTTAATTCAACTCATACGTTATTAAAATTATAGCATCAATGCGGTTTCCCAACTAAAGAAAATATGATATTAAAGTTTACAATTTTACGCTCTATTTCTCTTTTTTTTTTTATTCTTGATGATATCTTATTATCTCTCTTTTGAGACATTTAGAAAATATATTTTAAGTCTTTTTTAAATGTATGTAGAATTCTAGTTATATATCCGTAATTTATACATTCATCTATTATATTGTCGAGCCATCTATACTACAACATAAAATTTTTGTTCATAAAAAGATTTTGAAAAATGTATTATTTTTTTATGATTTTCTTATGTCGAATTGAGAAAAAATGTGCTTTTTTTTAATATTATTGAACTTATTGTGATTGTATTGATGTGTTAAAAAAAGTAATACATATGAGAAAGTTGAAAAATTATGAAAAGTATACTTTATAAATTATAATGACATTATGTTGTTTTGATGCAATACCTTTTGTATTAATTAGATAGTGCTCTTAACATGAAATTATTTTGGATTCGCCACTGCAGCTAGTTTTTCATTGGAACTTTCATTGTTTTCCCCAATTTCAATGACAATTTTTTTAATGGTTGAAATATGGCCGAAAAAGAAATCCAACGTAAATTCACACAAAAATAAATATTAGTAATTGAGATATTAAATCCACAAAAATTTCAATGTAATTTAATTTACTCACCATTGGAATAGCCAGTGAATCTTTTCAATAGAAGCTATACCAATGAAATATCTGTTGGTATTTTCTGTGGAATATCTAAACAACATGGATTTTAAATATTTTACTAATATTTATTAATAAACTTGTAAAATTAAATAAATATTGTTGAAACAGTTATCTTATTTGATAGGATACTTACGGTTAAATAAACTCTTAAATTTTATTGAGAAAATCGTAAAAGTATTTAAGAATCTTGAATAATATCAATAAATAAAATATTTTATTTATAAAATTTTGAATTATAATCGTTTACAGAGCGCTCAACTTGATAATTAATTGTTCAAATAAAATAAGAATAATAATAGTCAAAATGTCACGAACATTTTTATTAATAATTGAATGAAAAATTTCAAATATTTTAAGCCTTAATAATTAAAAAATTACGCAACTTGATTTTAATCACCTAATGGTCACGTGAAGATTCGTTAACTCTATTGTCTTTGCGACCAAAATTTGAAGATACAAACCACTAAACAATGATGATTTTTGTGGGATCAAAATTCTATCTAATAAAACTAGGTGCAATCTAATTCTAGTTCTAAATACAAGAGTTTATTTTTCTTAAATAATGACCTAGTTAAATGAATTCTTCCATTATTCTAGTTTGTTAGATTATGTATATATTTCACGTGTGCATGATTTCGGTATTTTAGGTATCTTCTCTTAATTAAAGTTATGTATGTATCTTGAAAATTATTTATTATATAAAATTTACCCCTCAACTAAATTATCATGTTTTACCAAGATTTATCGTTTTGTTAAAAGATAGGTAAACAAATAGTTGAGAATATTTAGATCTTTTATAAGTATTTATTATGTTGTTTATTGCATAATTTTTTGTTTAAATAAATTTTATATATTAAAATCATTAAATATGATTACGATATTATCATCAAAAGTATATTAAAAATAAGTACATTATTCAAAACAAAAATTCAATATCATTTCAAAACTTTGTTGTTTGGGTTACTGTTGAGTTGATTTTTTAGAGATATGGAAGAAAACAGTTTGGGAGATATGTGGAAGAAACCAAATTTTTTAAGAATAATGGTGTGAATATTGTGGATGATTTTTAAGAGATGTGGAATGTTTTGTTCATTTAATTGTATTGAATGAATAAAATATTAAATAAATATTAGTGTATTACTAATTTAACATTAAAAATATGTCAAATAAAAGGCTTTTTAGGTAAATATTAGTTACTAATAAAAAAAAATATAAGATGGGATATATATTATGTTATTATTAATTTGCCATTTAAAATATACCAAAGTAAGAGTATATTAGTTAGTTCTTTCTTTTACAAAAATACTCGTCCTTTTTTAGTAGTATTCCGAGTTACCATTTTAGTTAGCACAACAATTAGACATAGAATATAATAAAACATTTGGACTAAATATTGTATAAGATTATTTTGTAGATATATTGTTTACAAGAACTAATTTGTTTTGGTGGACTTCTGTGGAAGAGTTATTTTTTTTTTCCAACAGCTACTTAGCTAAGAGATCATAACAATTTCTTCAAAGACCACCTCAATCTCCATCACTTTTAGTAAAATTTAGAATTATTTGAGTCATACTTTGGGCGTAGATCATAATAGTCTTCAATATTACACTGTTATTTATTTAATTAAATATTAGTGATTAACTAAAAAATATAAGATTTGAAGAGTATTAGTGTATTAATAATTTGACATTAAAATTAAGTCAAAGTAAGAGTTTTTTAGGTAGTTCATTTGTTAATTAAAAATATAAAATAAGATGGGTATTATTGTATTACTAATTTGCCATTAAAAATATGTCAAAGTAAGGATATTTTAGGCAGATCATCATTTGTTAATTAAAAATATAAAATAAGACAGGTATTACTGAATCTGAATTACTAATTTGCCATTAAATATATGTCAAATAAGAATTTTTAGGCAAATCATTATTTTTACAAAATTACTCGTCTTTTTATAATAAAATATATACGATATAGATATAGATTATAATAGTATACATATAGATAGATAGATAGATTATTCTTTTTCTTAGGGAAAAATGAGATACACACAGATGATCAAATATCAATCATACAGCTCATTAGCAAGTATCAGGTGCTGTTGGCTGCTTTTTTCTTGAGATGACTTTCATCCATAACTTTTTTTTACTCATTCTCTCTCTTCGCAATCTCTCCCACACACACTCTCACACCACCATTTTTCAACTGCCTGAAAAACACTCCACTGCACCCATCGCTCTCAATCTCCGATATCTCTCAGAGAGTTATTCATGAAGCTTCAGCAACAATTATATTTTGGCAGATAAGAGAATTAGAATAAATATTATACTTGGAAAAGGGAAAAAACTGAAATAAAAGAAAAATCACTACACCATCTGTGTGAGTGTTCTTGTTGTGGCTGAGCTAAAAGTATTACTATTAGTTCATGGATTCCAAATCCTTAAGGCTCATAGCCCACCAATCGTTTTTCTCCGCCGTCCGATCCGATGATTTCGAGTCCCTGAAGAAACTCGTCGAGAATGAAGGGTCGGATCCGTCTTCTTTGATGGCCCTTGAGAATGAGGCGAAGGCGACTGCACTGTACATAGCCGCAGAGAATAATTTCCTTGGGATTTTCATGTATCTGCTCGATTTCTGCGATTTGGATATTGTTTTGATGAGGGCTAAATCGGATATGGACGCATTCCAGGTGGCAGCATCCAAGGGACACCTTGGTATACTCGCAATCCCTATCTTTTTCTTTTTCCCAAAAGTTAATAATTGATTAATTTTGTGTTTTGAGATTTTTGTATATGAGGTTAAACTTCAGTTTTGTTGCTCGTAAGAATACTTTTGGTTGGTGAGGGATTATTATTATTAATTTATTATTAGCAGCAGCAGCAGCAGCTAGTCTGCTAGCTAAAATCTTGTAATTGTATCAGCAGATAAGTTGGATAAGTTAGTGTAAAATGCACTCTGTTTTTGTGATTACAAACTTGAGCAGAAAGTGAGCCAAAGGCATTTTACATCTCATAGAGAGTGTATTGATTTATGTTGTGCTGATAATGAATTAGTATTTTTGTCTGAATAAGTAATGCAGCTGTCTTTGGGGAAGAAGATGTGTTTCATATTCCTTGGTATTCATGTCAAACTCAAATCTAGTTGGATTTTTTTTTTTTTTTAATGAATGTCTGTTATGGTGACAGGGCAGTAAATATATATATAGATGAAAAGAAATTATACTGCGGTGATTATTTTTTAAATGACAAAAGGCACTCTTCAGTCTGAAGTTCTTCTGTTTAAATGAAGATTTTCGAATTATGTCTAGCAATCAAAGAGTGAATTATGGATATACCTTGATACATGAGACAAGATTATGTATACAAGTGGTTAGCATGTTCTTGTATCGCTAACTAGGAATCTATCTTCAACCTGGAATTTCCATGTCCTTGTGACGACATTAAAATGAGAAATATGTCACTTTTTTTTTTTCTGAATCTCCTCTTACATAGTAACTTCAGACAACATTCCTCAGTTAAAAAATTTATTCTTCTTCATCCGAGTTTCTAAGTTTCACCATTTGTACACAGATATAGTGAAGGAACTCCTAAACAAGTGGCCTCAGCTCTGCCGAGTCTGCAACTCATCAAAAACGAGCCCTCTCTATTCAGCCGCCTCCCAAAACCATCTACAAGTCGTGAACGCCATACTAGACGTGGACGCGAGCACGGCACGAATCGTTCGAAAAAACGGAAAAACCGCACTGCACACAACCGCAAGATACGGTCAACTCGAAATGGTCAAAACCCTCATCGGTCGCGATCCTGGCATCATAACCATCAAGGACAAGAAAGGTCAAACGGCCTTACACATGGCCGTCAAAGGCCAAGACAGTCGCGTGGTAGAGGAGCTCCTCGAAGCCGCCGATCACACAATACTAAACGAACGCGACAAGAAAGGCAACACCGCACTCCACATCGCCACGCGTAAAAGCCGCTCTCAGATAGTCGCTCTCCTCCTCACATACCGCTCGCTCGACATCAACGCGTTGAATTTGCAGCGCGAGACCGCACTCGACGTAGCCGACCGGCTCCCATTCGGCCCCCACGCCCTCGAGATTTCCGAGTCGCTATCTGAGGCCGGCGGCAAGCGCGGCGCCAGCCTGTGGCCGCCGCTCGACTCGGCCGAGTTAAAGCGCACGGTTAGCGACATTCGGCACGAGGTCCAGTCACAGGTGATCCAGAACGAGAAGACTCAAAGACGAGTGTCGGGAATTGCAAAGGAGCTTCGCAAAATCCACCGTGAAGCCGTCCAAAACACTATAAACTCGGTGACGGTAGTTGCAGTCCTTGTTGCATCCATTGCATTCATAGCCCTATTTAACTTGCCGGGACAATACGAGACGGACGGGCCTGAAACGGGCCAGGCCATGATAGCCCACAAGACGGCTTTTCGGGCTTTTTGCCTATTGGACTCGACGGCCCTTTTTATATCGCTTTCGGTCGTTGTTGTGCAGATCACGCTTGTGGCGTGGGACACGCGGGCGCAGAAGAGGGTGGTGTCGATTGTGAACAAGATGATGTGGGCGGCGTGCGTGAGCACGTGCGGGGCGTTTTTGTCCATATCGTTTGTGGTGGTGGGGAAGGATGGGTCATGGATGGCGGATACGGTAACGGGCCTTGGAGGGCCCATACTTGTGGGGACGCTGGCGAGTTTGTGTTATTTTGTGTTCAGGAAGCATTTCGGGAGTGATTCGCAGAGGAGGATTAGAAGGGGGAGCGGGAGCAAGTCGTTTTCGTGGTCGTACTCGGCGAATGTGTCGGATTTGGACGATGAGTTTAATTCGGATGAGAAGATTTACGCCTTGTGAGGAACCTATGTGGGTTTTGTAATGAAGGGTATATATATATATATTTATATATATATATATATATATGTGACTCTTGTTACTTGCACTCTGTATTTGTTGTGTGTGTGTAGCCAAATTTGTAGATATGAGTATATGTGGGAGTTGTGGCCGATCTTTGATGGTTAACCGTGTGCATTATGGAGATTTTTATGTATACTAGTAAAGTGCACGTGGTATTGAATGATTTTTGCAGGGTAAGTTTATAAAATAAATTAATTTATTTATTAAACATATCATTGCAGGAATCAAATAAAATATAGAACAAATGAATTCATATGTGATTTTTTTTATTTAGAATTAGCGTAATGATGTCCTAATATAAAAAGAGTGAAATAACGTTTTACAACCTCCAACTAAAATATATAATAAAACAAATCCTTAATACAAAAACCACTAAAATTTTCTTTCATCTTTCTTATAAGAAACATTCATACTCGCTGAAGTCTAATACATCAATACTATTGCAAAATTTCTCTTAATTCATTTGGCAAAACGTTAATTTTATTCAAACACTTAAGAAACATTCTGACCCAATATATAGTCAAACTTCATGATCGTATAATCTTTATAATAAGATACTTCTACTAACAATGCATAAATATCTCTATAAAATAACTAACTATGTCATTAAAATTGTTGGTATTTTTTTATCATTGTATAAACTACTACATTCATCTGTCTCTAGACATATTGGTGCATACCTCATTGATGCATCGCCCAATGAGGTGGGAATAAATTTTATCTCCAAATAAAAGTTGACTTTCCAAAATTTTGGTTACATGTTTGGTTACATGTACTTCTCCCGAGGTACTAAAGTATTTTTTGAAATCATCATACATTACTTGAAAGTACCTCTAAAATAATTGCACATATGTTCGAGTATAATATACCGATGAGATTATAAATATTTCTATAAAAAGTGACAACTTCATTCGAACATTCAAAATTGTTTTGATACTCCGACATTGTTGTTTATTTGGAATATAGACGAACAATATAATCTATTATTTGAAAATTATTGACCATCATGGTTGTTGCAATGATTTTAAAATTGTTTATCATAATATCTTTCACATTCTTTTAAATATGCAATATTTGTGTGCCTAATAACTTCTTTAATGCTTTTATTGTCCAACATTATTCATCATACAAAATAATTATAAAATTCAAGATAAAGATCAGTTCTTTATTCTCCAACAATGACAAAACAAAACAATGAGAAAATATTGAGAAGCATATCATTTGTTAAAATATTTGATAGGAGAAGAGTTAGAATTCTATTATATTATGATACTCTTAGTCATCTGCAAAGTTTATTATTATGGAGTCATGATTAAAATATACATTATGTATTACAAATTTTTGGATTTTTTAATTATTTAAAATGAAAAATAAGTAATATAGGATCATTATTTATGAAAACCAATTTCTTACAGATTCCCTATATTTAAACGCTAGCAATAAAAAAGTAGTAGTTTTCAAAGACTTTTTGTTCGTAAATATTGGTATTCATACTTCTCTAAGAAAATTCACACGTATTCTTTTTCTCATTGTGTTACTATTATATTATTTGTTTCTTATTCTATAGACAAATAATATTTTATTTGCTAAATAATTAAAGCACATTTATATGTATTGCGTAATTTTTTGTATGTGTTTTATATAATGATGTTTTCAAATTATCTTTTTTATTAGGCTGCAACTACTATAATCACATAAGATATAATGTAAATTAAATATATTTGATAAAAATGTATTTTTTATACGAATTATTAGATTAAAAAGTTTACAATTTTTTCCAATGTCTGATAAAATATTAGGTAACTAAGTCATTTTCATAATCACTGAATACATATATGGTACCACCATTATAGGGTTCTTTTTCAAGCAGTAATTGAATAATAGTTTAACGTCCAACTTATTTATTTGTCTTTTTAATTCACATAGCTAATGTTATCTCATTTCCCTTCTCTGGCCTAGTCTATTCCTTCTTTTAACTATGATTTCACTTCGCTTCGCTTCGTTTGTACCTAAGGTGCATTCGCCATAGTTTCAGCATTACGGCAAACCAGTGTCAATTATATATCGAGAATGGGCGCTCTAGCTAAAATGTGGGAATAGTTGTAAGTTTACCTCCATTTTTTTATTTTATTTGTAATATGAATTGTTTTAAATCTCTGTAAGAAAAATATACCACAAGTTTATCTTATGTTATTCTATACTTAATAAAATTGATTTAACTTGAATAAATAAATTAATATATACTATAATTTTAGGTCAATATATTATTTTAAAATTATTACTGATATATATATATATACATATATCGATATAAATAATTATATTATTTTTATTTTATTTGCAATATATTGGTCAACTCAAACATTATTGAAAATAAATGATGTGATATATTACATATAAAAAGAGTAACAAATAAAAAATATGAAGTATTTCAAAATTAAAAAAATTAATGAAAAGAAATGATGTGATATATTACATATAAAAAGAGTAACAAATAAAAAATATGAAGTATTTCAAAATTTAAAAAATTAATGAGAGAAAGTAATTAAATTTTTAACTAAAAAATTTTAAGATTAACATACCCAATTTTAAAGAAATGTATATATATATACATATATATTTTATGTACCTAAAAGTTCTAGTTAAAATATATGTGTATCTTAAGTATGTTTTATATTTCTCATTGGCCAGCTCCAATTGATATTGTACATTAAGTAATTTTATCAGTATTTTTACTCTTTGATTTAATGAGAGCTACAAGTTTTCTCATCATTCTCACCCCTTATTTAGTTATTATAATACTAATAAAATAATTAAGGACCTTTCAAAGTATCTTGTTTGTTTTGAAACAAAAATTACTTATTATCATAAATTAAACGATAATTACATTGAATGTGTTATATTTTCTATCATATAAAAATTTTCATAATAATAGTTGCACACAATATTATATATAATGCAATTTTTTTTTTATAGATTTGGAGTCCTACTTTTACTACAAGAAAATAAGAAAATTCCAACGAAAATTACAACAAGAATATAACGATCTTCTTAAGTTGAATTGAGAAAAATCATGTTTTTTTGGTTTCTGAAATATATTTTATTTTATTGTCACTGTATTGATTTATTAAAATGTATTACAAAATGAGAAAGGTGATAGATTAATTTATAAATTAAAATGACATGTTATTTTGATGGTATATTTTTTCTATTAACTAAATAATGCCCCCAATATGAAATTATTTTAGATCTATCACTGCAATTAATTAGCTTTCCAATGGAATTTCCATTGAATTTTCGCACAATTCCAATGACAGTTTTTCCAACGATTGAAATATGGTCCAAAAAAAATCCAATGGAAATTCAAGTAATTAAAATCTTTAAATCCACTAAAGTTCAAGTAATTTAATTTGAACTTTGTTGGAATAGCCAATGAAATTTTCCAATGAAAGCAATATTTATGAAATATTGTTCCTATATTTTTTTTTTTTTTTTCAGAAATCACTCATTATTTTATCTCAAGATTACCTATTAGTTCCTATATTTTTTTTTTCAGAAATCACTCATTATTTTATCTCAAGATTACCTATTAATTTACCAATTGAGTTATATTTCTTACATATTAAATATTTAAAAATTAGAATATTTCCTATTTTATATGTTCAATATGATATTTATATATTATATCAAAAAAAACTAAGATATCAAATAAAAAGTTATTTAAAATTAGAATAATAAAGATTATTTTTTTTTTGGTAACTTACATGGATAAATGTACAAATAACTATTGTCTATCACATCAAATTTACAAATAAAATTATAAGGAGAAAAAACTAACATTAACAACTCAGCTCGTTTACGTCGATAAGTATATTTATAAAAAGTTTATATTTTTTATATTTATTATAACATTTTTATTTATTACTTTATTTCATATTTATTAGTACGTGTCACAACTTATTTATTTTTAATATTATTTATCATATTTAATATTTTTTTAAAACTTTTATCTTGTTCTTTTACATGTTCTTAACTGTAGATTTGTCAAAAAATGCATGATATAAAGTCTAGAATTGTTTCGGCCATCTGTCTCATTATATTTCAATTATTTGAATATCTTATATTATATTATATTTAATTAATTTTTTTTTTAATTTATACTACAACTAAATATTTATAATTCATAAATTCATCAATAATATTGTCGAGTTAACTTTTGTTCATAAAATTTTAAAAAACATAATTATTTACAATTATTTGCTTATGTCGATAAATACAAATTTAAAAGTTCTACAAAAAGTTATTTCACTCTACGGACAAGTTATTTTTTTCTCAATTTGCTCGTCGCCCCCAATTTCCACCGAAACCCTCGTCGCCGTTTCTCAATTTGCTGCCTTCCACTTAGCTTCTGGGCCGACGGCAGTCGTCCCCTAGCCGATCGGCCCTTTCCCGTCGCTGCGACCTCCCTCGACTGAATGTGCAATTAACAGGTTGTCCGCCCAAATCCACGTCGTCTATCCGGTGTTGGTTGTGTCGCTTGGTCCTGTGCTATGGCGAGGGCTGGGCCTGTTGTACCGGTGATGAGGCTCGGTGATGGTGCGGTTCAAAGCGTGGCTCCGCGGCGCGGCTCTGTCGCTGTCTCTCGGGAGACTTCCACCATGGAGTTGCGGTGGGTTTTGGTTGAGGGGAGGTTCTACGGGAAAGGGACGGGTGCAGCTCCGGCGGCTTGCGGCTTCGGGCCGAAGTGGCTATGGCTGCTTCTTCAGATCGGTTCCCTCTTCTGGTTCTCTGGCGCAGGGTCCAGGGATGCTTGCTGCTTGGGTCCGAGTTGCTAGTGGTGTTAGTTGGCTCGGCTCGGTGGTGACTGGGTATCCTCTCTGGCGCGGGGAATTGGAGTGTTTGCTGTTGGTATCGAGTTGCTAGTGGTGTTAGTTGGCTAGATACTGTGGCGGTTGGGTGCCTTCTGGAGTTTTTCGGCTCGGGGTGAATTGGTTTTTTGGGGATTTTCTGATGCTTGGGATTCGGCTCAGCTAGGCGGTTTGGCAGTAGAGGGGTCGGCCTTCTCAGGCTAGGGATTCCTCTGAAGTCGATTTGGTGCTTGCTGGTCTGTCTCGGATTTGCTACTGTGGAAGGGCTTGAGTGTTTTTTATGTTTAGTTATTTAGTTTTTTCTGTGGGTTACTTGTGTTTGTT